GGCATATAGCATCAATGGGTGAAGGGGTACAAAAATTGTGAATTTCATGGTCCCTGCCCCCCTGGGGCCTGAGGGTGGGGCTAAAACCATCAAAATTAGTGCTATCTTTAAAAATCTTCTTCTTTACTCCTGGACATCAAGCAGTCAAACTGTTGGCATGATTGTAATAAGCATCGAGCCCTCTACCAAAATTGTGAAATTCATGGCCCCAGGGTCAGGGGTTCTGGTGCTAGGGCGGGGCTATATAGATCATATAGTAAAAGTGCATTATTTCTTTGAAAATCTTCTTCTCTACTCCTGGGTATTATTGAAACAAATTGAATACATAGTTATGATAAGCAAGGGTGACTCTATCAAAATTGTGAAATTCATAGCCCCAGGGTCAGGAGGTCTGGTGCTAGGGTGGGGCTATATAGATCATATAGTGAAAGTGCATTATTTCTTTGAAAATCTTCTTCTCTACTCCTGGGTATTATTTAAACAAATTAAATACATAGTTATGATAAGCAAGAGTGACTCTACCAAAATTGTGAAATTCATGGCCCCGGGGTTAGGGGTTCTGGTGCTAGGGTGGGGCTATATAGATCATATAGTGAAAGTGCATTATTTCTTTGAAAATCTTCTTCTCTACTCCTGGGTATTATTGAAACAAATTGAATACATAGTTATGATAAGCATGGGTGACTCTATCAAAATTGTGAAATTCATAGCCCAAGGGTCAGGGGTTCTGGTGCTAGGGTGGGGCTATATAGATCATATAGTGAAAGTGCATTATTTCCTTGAAAATCTTCTTCTCTACTCCTGGGTATTATTTAAACAAATTAAATACATAGTTATGATAAGCAAGAGTGACTCTACCAAAATTGTGAAATTCATAGCCCCAGGGTCAGGGGTTCTGGTGCTAGGGTGGGGCTATATAGATCATATAGTGAAAGTGCATTATTTCTTTGAAAATCTTCTTCTCTACTCCTGGGTATTATTTAAACAAATTAAATACATAGTTGTGATAAGCAAGGATGCCTCTTCCAAAATTGTGAATTTCATGGCCCCAGGGCCAAGGGTTCTGGTGAAAGGAGGGGGGGGGGGGCTCTATTGATTATATAGTGAAAAAGCAAAATTTCTTTGAAAACATTCTTTTCTGCTCCTGGTTAAAAAGCAAAGAAGCTAAGTGTATAGTTATGATGAGCAAGAGTGTTTCTTCCAGAGTAGTGAATTGCATGACCCCTGGGTCAGATGTGCTGGTGTAAGGGTGGGGCTCTTAATAATATAGTGAAAATGCATTAATTCTATTAAATAATCCTGTCTGCTCTTAGTGTTAAGCAGATAAACAAAGTGATAACTTATGATGAGCAAACTTCTGGTCCCAGGGTGAGAGGCTCTGGTGTTTCTCACTTGGGAGGGGGCGGGGGGGGCTCTATTGATAATATAGTGAATCTGTAGTAAAAATGCATTATTTCTTTAAAAATCTTCTCTGCACCTGGGCATATCAGAGGCAAAAAGTAAAAGTTTTAATAAGGAAGAGTATTTTTACCAGATTTTTGAACATCTGGACCATTTGGTCAAGTCTTCTGGTCCTGGCCAGGGCTCTATTAATTTGTATTCTACTGAGAGGAGTTATTCCCCTTTGCCATTTACTTTTGATAATTAATCACTGTAAATAATGTACTTGAAAGGTTAATAGAATAAGAGAATTATGCAAGAATTTTTATTGTATAATACAAAAAGTACTTTCATAGTTTTAATGTTCAGGTAGACTTGTAAGTAATAGATAAATAAAAATGAGACAAAAATAACTTGTCTTTTTAAATGTTCATCAAAGACCAAGAGAGGCCAATTTAAGAGATTTCAACAAGGAATTAAAATAGTACCTGTAGAAGCACTGATTAGTTTGTTAATATACTGTATGGTGATAGTGACTAAACGGGGAACAGATTAGAACCTAATTTACAAACTGTTAATGAATACTAGACTAATTATTTGTTGATCCTGATCACCCTATTTTTCTTGCTTTTGAGCAACAAAACTTCACCTTTCAATTCATTTTATACTCTATGGATCCTCAAAATTGTTGTATTATACTCATGTGATCGTTAATGCCCTTGGGCCTCTTGTTTAATTTAATTATTAACTCCTAAAATGACATACATCTGAAGAATCGTGTATATAAAAATTCTTTTAAAATGTAAGCAAAAAATGTACCTATATAAAACCTGCACGAAATTGGTTATTTGGATGAGACAGAACAAAAGAAAGGTTTCTGTGCCCTCGCTGCTCAATGGCCGTAAGTGCCTTCCATTGGAAACTATAGTGGTTTCACAACAGGAGTGAAAATACTCGAAGGGTTGTAAAGTAAAAAAAACATCATACCAACAAATGAAAGATCCCTACTTATACGTGTACTCATCCTGTATAGTATACAAAGATCCCTACTTATACATGTAGTCATCCTTTATAGTATACAAAAATCCCTACTTATACGTGTACTCGTCCTTTATAGTATACAAAAATCCCTACTTATACGTGTACTCGTCCTGTATAGTATACAAAGATCCCTGCTTATACGTGTACTCATCCTGTATAATATACAAAGATCCCTACTTATATGTGTACTCGTCCTTTATAGTATACAAAGATCCCTACTTATACGTGTACTCGTCCTTTATAGTATACAAAGATCCCTACTTATACGTGTACTCATCCTGTATAGTATACAAAGATCCCAACTTATACGTGTACTCATCCTGTACAGTATACAAAGATCCCTACTTATACGTGTACTCATCCTGTATAGTATACAAAGATCCAAACTTATACGTGTACTCATCCTGTATAGTATACAAAGATCCCTACCTATACGTGTACTCATCCTGTATAGTATACAAAGATCCCTACTTATAAATGTGTACTCATCCTGTACAGTATACAAAAATCCCTACTTATACGTGTACTCATCCTGTACAGTATACAAAGATCCCTACTTATACATGTACTCATCCTGTATAGTATACAAAGATCCCTACTTATACTCGCACGTGTACTCATCCTGTATAGTATACAAAGATCCCTACTTATAAATGTGTACTCATCCTGTACAGTATACAAAAATCCCTACTTATACGTGTACTCATCCTGTACAGTATACAAAGATCCCTACTTATACGTGTACTCATCCTGTATAGTATACAAAGATCCCTACTTATACTCGCACGTGTACTCATCCTGTATAGTATACAAAGATCCCTACTTATACGTGTACTCGTCCTTTATAGTATACAAAGATGTACTCGTCCTTTATAGTATACAAAGATCCCTACTTATACGTGTACTCATCCTGTATAGTATACAAAGATCCCTGCTTATACGTGTACTCATCCTGTATAGTATAAAAAGATCCCTGCTTAAACATGTAGTCATCCTGTATAGTATACAAAGATCCTTGCTTATACATGTACTCGTCCTTAATAGTATACAAAGTTCCCTGCTTATACATGTACTCATCCTGTATAGTATAGAAAGATCCCTGCTTATACATATTACTCGTCCTTGATAGTATACAGAGTATTATTTCCTGAAGTATCCTGTAAAGAATTTCTTGAATTCATTTGTACTTCAAAATTTACATTCCTTTCCTTGATAGATAACCTTTCCGTTCAATCTTTGGGTAATCCATGTCTAAATTCATAGTTATCGTACCTAGAGCAAAATTTAAACTGATTCCAGAAGGCATAACATTTGTTTCTTTTTCCATTTTTTTTTTTGTTCACATGTTCTTTTTTTTTACGAAAACAAACGGTAGGCAGAATTAGGTACAGAAAATTAAAACCAGGCAGAACCTTACATTTCTTGCATATGTGTCTGTGGAGGCAATTAAAAAAAATCAATGATATATACTGTATATAATATTATTCCTCACAATCTTTTCAATATTTGCAATTTAAAAAATATGAAATATATATCATGAATACATCTAGTTTCATTAGATCGACAATAACACCAAAAAATTTAAAACATGAACAAAACACTAAAACTTTTTGTCAGTAATACAAAATTACTTTTTGTACTATGATAGTGAATGAAAGAATCGCGATTGCTTTCAGTTGAAAACGTAACAACTGAAACTCGAAAGTTTAAATCAACCCATGCTTCTTCATTAAATCAAAATTTAAATGCCCGTCATATTTAATGACACTGTGTTCAATGTTGAATCAAGGTCGTGTTTACTTTGAAAACGTCACATTTTCTGAATGGATAAACTGTTCATTTACCAAACTCATCGAAGCAGAGATCTCATCGACGAATATCAAATTAAAGATTGATTTCAGAAAATGGAGAGGATAAACCTCGAGTAATGGAAATTAAGCAAAACTTTCTAAAAAAAAAAAATATATTGTCCTTATTTTGTAAAACTCAAAAGCCCACGTTAAAAAAGTAGCCTGAATAGTGGAGTGCCTACCATGGCATATCAGAGGGACAATTTCTTAAAGACGACAAAAGAAAATAAAAATTCAGGAATTTTTGTTCGAAGGCAGAGTAAAGACAATCTGAATTAAAAAGAAACAGAATTTGAAAGTTATATTTCACCGATTCTTATTCCACCAATGGGAGAAAGACGGTGAAATTCGAGCTCATTTTCATCAAGAATTTTCATTGTGATACTTACTCGAAAAAATCCTTCAATTTTTGTTCTCTTAACAGAGTATATAAAGTCAATTTCGGGAACTACAGGTATAAACAGCAAGATGCAATTTTTCTGTAAATGTTTTTGATTGCTTTTGCAAAGAGAAAAAAAAATTAAAAACCGAAGATCAAGCATGTTATAAATCCTTTGAATTGTAAGATTTTCATCTACTTTTATTGTTTTTTTTTAATATCAGATCTTATCATAATTTTCAGGGATTTTCATTTGTGTGAGTGTCACCTCTCAGATAAGATTTGCCATCTCCAACCAATTTCTTCCAACTGCCCATAATCAAAGAAATTGTTCAGATGTCTTTAATACAATGCCATTAAATGCAAGTGAAGCGAAAACACACGTCTGTAGCCGGCATCTGACATTAAGCAGACTAACATTTCACTGTTATAGTTCGTCAGATTCGGCGGTGAATTTTCGAGCACTGCTCGGTGCTCTTCTTCGCAAGAGTTTGAAGACACAACAGCAATCAATTCACACGTTCCAACAATACGTAAGTAATTACCTGAAGTATGCAAATGAATATATATAAGTAAAATTTCAGGTTAATTTTAACGTTTTTTAACTAAAAATAGTTCAAATATACTTTTGATCTCTATTCTCGATTTTTTTTCCCGAACAAACAGGAAAAGTTAACTCACTGCGATATATTATTAACATTATATGGTGAAGAATAAAGCATCAAATTAAAGAAGCTATTGTAGATTTACAAAAATTGGGGTGGGGATACTTTGAAATATAATGTGTGTTTGGATGCATTTAAAGAGATACATTTTCATTTTTTTTTTCCAGCTGAGGGAACGTACGCCATATGTAACAGACTGGTCCTTATTTTCAATGAGGCCTTGTTTAAGAATTCTTAAACGATGCTCACAATGTAGTTCAATGAATCAAGTAAGTGTTATTATGTACGTTGTCGGTAATGAAGCATATCACATGTTGTAAATATTTAATTTACTGGGTAGCAATTATAAACTTTTCAGCGCAATATAATTTATATACAGTAAAATATAGTTACAACAAACATGCTTATAAAGAATTTACGATTAGAGCGAAGTGATTTTCTTTCCTTGTAGTCTTAAATCATATTTCAAACCTAAGGACAGATGATACAAACAAACTTTTTTCAAAAAATCAAAAAAAAAAAAAAAAAGTAAAGTTATGTTTAAATAAGTTCAAAGAATAACTTTAGCCGCATATTTTTTAATTTTTCTTTCAAATTTTCACAATAAGTCCTATAAAGTGATAAAAATTTGCATATATTTTTAAGGATGACAAGAAAAAGGTAGAAATTTGAACACCATAGAAAGTTTACAATGTCTTAATATTCTTGAAATTTGCTTTTTGGATCATTTACAACCAAACTATGTCCAAAAATATATATCAATCTAGGCATCGATATTTCGTTTGGATCATCTGTCCTTAACAGATACAATAAGTTACGTTTATAAGAAATCAAAACTGTTCTTCCCTGGCAGTTCGCTATAAGCGTGTTTTACATGTTTTTATAAGTACAATGAATCCAAAACATTTTGCCTGAAAAAATGAGATTATGAGTGGATGTTATCGTTGCTTCACTTTATTTTAGGCCACGGATCTACAAGAAGATTTCAAAACTCTGGAGATAATATTTGAAGTGATCGGAAGTATCATTAAAGAAGATGCCGATCTCTCAACACCAGTATCAGAAATAGGAAAATCGTTGAGAAGTCTTCAAAGATTTACAAAGCAGTTATTGTGTGAAATACATACGTTTCTTCTCCTATCCGGAACACATAGCATTGGTAATGGTTTTATAAATGACGTAGTCAAATCTCAGGACTGGTGTGTTTTCAGTTCCATTTCATCTAGGTATGAGAGGGATATCTATCTTTTGCGACAAATTGCCAATATTTCGTCTAAAATACATAAAAGGTACAAAACGGTATTTTTATAGAATATTAAAAAAAGGTGAAAATGTATTTTCTATGATAATGTTTGATCGGATTTCTGTCAAATCGTAGTTTACTGTAAAATTATCTCTACATCTACATGTAGTTACAGACATTAATATATATCTACGGTGAAATAGAATAAAGACTTGCTTATTATGTGTATATGTGTATGTATAAATTTTAGATTCAAATCTGTGCAATTAAAATATCGGAAATGTATATTTAGTGTTGTGTTTCATTTTGTTTTCCATTAAAGGAGCCTAGACACAGCTGAATAGTTAACATTTTAAAATTCTATTTTTATTCAAAAAATAAAACCAGTTAAATGAATTTTCTTAAAATTCAATTCTTCTTTACATCATGTCAAACATCTGTTTTTGTAAACAGGGCACGAGCTCTGTAATTGTACATGTAAGTTAATGTTTACGATTTACAGGGGGTGTTCAATTTGTTAAACTCTGCACACATCACTGAGCAAAGACTGGCGATAAGGGTACATTTTGTTGTTTTCTAATATATCTATTCTGAATTTCCTGGATTAAAGTTTTAATATTTTTCATTAAAACACAAATAAATTTCCATTTTTCTTGTGTTAAGGGTAAAGTTAACTTCGTGAAAGTGCAAGGATTTGTGTCAATCAAACGCGTCCCAAAATTCGTAGTTTTGATAATTTCCAAATAAAAGAAGTTTCTGAACGCCTTTTTATTATATTTCCGTGTGAAATGCTCTAGCAACATATAAGTCATATTATCCAAAAAGAAAATTTGAGGAAATATTAACTTCAAATCTGTGTCTAAACCCCTTTAATTTCTGATTTGCAATATCACTGCGTCTTGTGATTCGGTCAGTTGGTACCTCTGACCCCCTAATAATTTCATACTGAATTGAACGTTGGCCCTTCAATAGGTTCACCTAGAGAAAATATTTCTAAATGTAAATATTGAGACATAGATACTTGCATTGCCGTTTTGTTCACAATTTTGAATACTCGGTTTAAAAAGATACATGTAACTTCCGCTAAATAATTTCAAATTACATAAAAATTCTTAACATTCAAAAACAACGGCATTCTTCTTTATGTTTTCGATTTTTTACCTGAAGTGTTCGATTTGCGACGTGTAACACTCATAAATTATTTCCTTTTGCCTAAACTGAGAGGTTTTGCTTTCTTACATTGTTACTATGACTTCTGTTCAAAATAGTTTGAATATCTTTTTATCGATTATATGATATTATCTTGACAAAAATTGCGTGAAATAGAAATATAACATAATTTGTATTTGTAAGAGGAAAAAATCACAAATCCGATCGCCGAGGATAAGAATAGAAATAGAGATTGACACACGTGTTTGAATTTTTACTTGTAAGGCTCCATGAGGGTTCTGATTAACATAAATATGTTGAAACTTGTTCATCGGGAGATCAGTCTGGTTAAGATGAAAAAGCAACCAATCAAAAGAAACTAACCAAAGGTCACTCGTCTGTATAAATTATCAACACGGAATAAAAAGCTTATGTTATACAAAAAGTTTAACACATATTTTAAATTGCAATAATTTGTTGAAAGTTAAATGGTGTTTGAACAGTTGAAAGGGATCCTTAGGATTGTTTGAGTACTTGACCATGGCTTGGTCATACCGACTATCTACTAAATATTTCTTACTCGGTTACTCGTTAAAATGTGCTATATAATAATAATAATAATAACTAGATGAGATCTCGTTGCGAGCAACGAGTAGGTCTTCCGTCCGATTTTTCGATAAGATGAGATATGATTTTGACTATGATCTTTGCTAAAAGATAATAATATATAGACTTACCTAATTAGATTTTATTCTTTTGATTTTTATAACATTATCAAAGAGCTATAGAGAAACATGCTTTTGGCCCCTCTGATCCCCTAGTTTGAGGGGTCAGCCCCTTTTTCTTGATATCAAAAGAAAGGTCTTGTGATTTTGAAGACTTTTTGTTCAACAACTATTCAGAGATTTCTTTTCGTTTTGGAAATATGTTGAATGGAAATATTTAGGGGCCACCCCTCCAAGTCCTTAATGGGGTTTCTTGACAAAAATTAAAAGAGTGCATATTGTTTAGAACATTATTCTGACCATCTTTTGTCCAGTATTGCTTATCAAAATATTCCCCCTTTTCGAGATATAAAGTATCAAAGATTTAGCATTCTGGCCCCTTGTGACCCCTTATTACGTAACATATGATCAGAATCTTATCATATATTGATGTAAATCGTTAAGATAAGCATCTTTGCTTCAGTAATGTATTACAAATTATTGATCGTTAAAGAGTTATAGATGAAAGACTTTTGGCCCCTCTGAGCCCCTAATTTGAAGGTCCAGCCCCTTTTTCTTGATATCAAATGAAAGGTCTTGTAATTTTAAACATTTTTTGTTCAACAACTATTCAGAAATTTCTTTCCGTTTTGGAGATATGCTGAATGGAAATATTTAGGGGCCACCCCTCCAAGTCCTTAATGGGGCCGTTTGACAAAAATTGAAAGGCTGCATATTGTTTAGAACATTATTCTGACCATCTTTTGTTCAGTATTGTTTATTAAAATATTCCCCCTTTTCGAGATATAAGGCGTCAAAGATTTAGCATTTTGGCCCCTTGTGACCCCTTATTACGTAACATATGATCAGAATCTTATCATATTTTGTTGTAAATCGTTAAGATAAACATCTTTGCTTCAGTAATGTATTACAAATTATTGATCGTTAAAGAGTTAAAGATGAAAGACTTTTGGCCCCTCTGAGCCCCTAATTTGAGAAGTCAGCCCCTTTTTCTTGATATCAGATGAAAGATCGCATCATTTTGCACAACTTTTCTTCTATATGTTTTAACAAATTCTTAACATGTATGAAGATATGAAAGAAAAGATGTAAAATTTTGTGAGATGTTTCTGAGACATTTTTTGAGCCCTACCGAGCTTCGGCGCCTTTTGCGCTAGAGAAATTTGAACACCTGCCTGCAAATCTACAAACCTTCCCCTATCTTCACTGAAAATTTAGATTCAATATCATAAGTCATTTCGGAGGAGTTTCCAGGACAAGCCGACCCTCTGAAAATCAGAAAATCCTAATTATCTCGAGATGGAAAGTGACGTCATCAACCAAAAAAATTTCCAATAAGGTTCATTTCAATACCTATCAGATCTGAAAGTTTCATGAAAATCGGCCAAGACGTTACCGAGAACTCGCGTGCACAAAATCGGTAAGAATAATAATAATAACTAGATGAGATCTCGTTGCGAGCAACGAGTTGGTCTTCCGTCCGATTTTTCGATAAGATGAGATATGATTTTGACTATGATCTTTGTTAAAAGATAATAATATTTAGACTTCCCTATCTAGATTTCCTTCTTTTGATTTATATAACATGATCAAAAAGCTATAAATGACATGCTTTTGGCGCCTCTGAGCAGCTAGTTTGAGGGGTCAGCCCCTTTTTCTTCATATCAATTGAAAGGTCTTGTGATTTTGAAGACTTTTTGTTCAACAACTATTCAGAAAAATCCTTTCGTTGTGGAGATATGCTGAATGGAAATATTTAGGGGCCACCTCCCCAGGTCCTTAATGGGGCCGTTTGACAAAAATTGAAAGGGTGCATATTGTTTAGAACATTATTCTGACCATCTTTTGCTCAGTATTGCTTATCAAAATATTCTCCCTTTTCGAGATATAAAGCATCAAAAATTCAGCATTCTGGCCCCTTGTGACCCTTATTACGTAACATATGATCAGAATCTTATCATATATTGTTGTAAGTCGTTAAGATAAATATCTTTGCTTCAGTAATGTTTTACAAATTATTGATCGTTAAAGATTTATAGATGAAAGCCTTTTGGCCCCTCTGAGCCCCTAATTTGAGGGTCAGCCTCTTTTTCTTGATATCAAATGAAAGGTCTTGTGATTTTGAAGACTTTTTGTTCAACAACTATTCAGAGATTTCTTTTCGTTTTGAAGATATGCTGAATGGAAATATTTAGGGGCCACCCCCCAGGTCCTTAATGGAGCCGTTTGACAAAAATTGAAAGGGTGCATATTGTTTAGAACATTATTCTGACCATCTTTTGTTCAGTATTGCATATCAAAATATTCTCCCTTTTCGAGATATAAAGCGTCAAAAATTCAGCATTCTGGCCCTTTGTGACCCTTATTACGTAACATATGATCGGAATTTTATCATATATTGTTGTAAATCGTTAAGATAAGCATCTTTGCTTCAGTAATGTATAACAAATTATTGATCGTTAAAGAGTAAACGATGAAAGACTTTTGGCCAATCTGAGCCCCTAATTTGAGGGGTTAGCCCCTTCTTCCTGATATCAAATGAAAGGTCTTGTGATTTTGAGGACTTTTTGTTCAACAACTATTCAGAGATTTCTTTTTGTTGTGGAGATATACTGAATGGAAATATTTAGGGGCCACCCCTCCAAGTCCTTAATGGGGCCGTTTGACAAAAATTGAAAGGGTGCATATTGTTTAGAACATTATTCTGACCACCTTTTGTTCAGTATTGCTTATTAAAATATTCTCCCTTTTCGAGATATAAAGCGTCAAAGATTTAGCATTCTGGCCCCTTTTGACCCCTTATTATGTAACATATGATCGAAATTTTATCATATATTGTTGTAAATCGTTAAGATAAGCATCTTTGCTTCAGTAATGTATAACAAATTATTGATCGTTAAAGAGTTAACGATGAAAGACTTTTGGCCCCTCTGAGCCCCTAATTTGAGGGGTTAGCCCCTTTTTCTTGATATCAAATGAAAGGTTGTATCATTTTGCACAACTTTTCTTCTATATGTTTTAACAAATTCTTAACATGCATGAAGATATGAAAGAAAAGGTGTAAAATTTTGTGAGATGTTTCTGAGACATTTTTTGAGCCCTACCGAGCTTCGGCGCCTTTTGCGCTAGAGAGATTTGGACACCTGCCTGCAAATCTACAAACCTTCCCCTACCTTCACTGAAAATCTTGACTCAATATCTTAAGTCGTTTCGGAGGAGTTTCCAGGACAACCCGACCCTCTGAAAATCAGAAAATCCTAAATATCTCGAGATGGAAACTGACGTCATCAACGAAAAAAATTTCCAATAAGGTTCAGATCAATACCTATCAGATCTGAAAGTTTCATGAAAATCAGCCAAGACGTTACCGAGAACTCGCGTGCACAAAATCGGTAAGAATAATAATAATAATAATAATAGGGAAAAAGAAACCGAACGAAAACAATAAGGTCTTCCGTTGGAGACGGAAG